AATAAATAAATCCGATTTGACAAAAAATTGGAATTGGGTCATTCAGGTTGCAGTGTGAATGCACCCTAAATTTTGTCACACCCTCATCATGTCTTTGTCAAAGCCAAAGCCTGCAGCTCATGTATTTTAGAAATAATTAAATGCTGATGACATTTGAGGATATTTTTTAAATGTTTTTTGTGGAATCCTTTATGAGGCCCAACCTCACGTAGACTCTGCCTCCAGTGGGCCCCTGGTCTAAAGCATCTGTCAGGTTTTATTTCATGTCTGCCTGCATTTGCACCTTTCATCGTCCCATCACCGGCTTCTTTGTTTCTGTTTATGAAAGACACGACGCTGGCTCCACGTGTTCCGTGTTGTTGAAGGTGACATGCAATTTTACTCTCCCACCACGAGGTGTTTTCATTTGGGCCAAAGATATTCAAATTTGGTCTCATCTGACCAAAACATATTCTTGTAGGGTTGCTATGTTTTTCAACATGATTATGGTGAAGTTTAAATTTGACTTGTCCGGATTTCCTTCTCGCCCCTCTTCCATAATGATCAGATTTGTAAAGTGTATTACTAATACTTGTCTTAAAAAAACAGATTATTTTACTTAATCTGTGAATCTCTGCAGCTCCCCCAGAGTCACTATGGGGATTTTTACTTTGTGAGTTTTTACCTTGTCTTGGTAGTTTTGCACTACTTTGCTTTGATTCTTCACATTAAATTCCAATAAAAAAAACTCCCACAAACGTATATTATAATAAAACAAAATATAATAAAACAAAATGTAATAAAACAAAATGTGCTCTCTTAGGAACAGTACATGTTTGATCTTGTCTAACAGGAGACTCTGGGTAGCTGGATCTCGGAGCTTCAAGCCAGATCAGAGAACATCGAGGACCTGGTATCCGAGCTAGAGCTGGCCTACAACTCTGTAGAGGTACGGCGTTTTTAGCAGCTGGTCACCATGCAAGCCGGTGGAATCCAAACGTTGTCTCTCTCTCTCTCTCGACTCTCCTGTTGTCCAGGACCAGTTCACGGAGAGCGAGGCAGCCATGCGGGCGCAGAACGAGGAGATGATGGCTCTGGTGATGGAGCAGTACAACACCATGTCCATCAGCATGGAGGAGGAGAAGAAAGCCAAGCTGGAGCAGCTGTACGACAAGATTGTCTCCTACCAGGAGAGCATAGACTCGGCCAAAGCCACTCTGGAGACCACGGCCAGGGAGGCGGAGACGGACGCCAGAGTAAGTCCTGGACACTCGCTTGACTGGATTTATCGGTTTGGCAAATGATTCAAGCATTGTAACAAAGATCTTTAATCTTTTCTCCCAACAGTCACCAGAAGACATTCACGCAAGGTATTTACACCGTTTCTTGCTCTGCACATGCAAATCTTACTTGTGGTATGAACCAAGTGTTGTGCAAAAGTCTTGATTAATCCTTTTTGTTGTGCCTCCAAGTATATAGAGATTTTAGCTTTTTGAATTAATTGTAAGATCCTTTTTGCAAAAAAGGAAAAAAAAGAAACTATACAGAAGACTGCAAGCCTCCCAACTTTCGAGGCTTGCTCAACTTGTTCAGCTCCACAAGACACACCGTGTACTGATTTAATTTCCTCTGACATTTGCACCATTCAGACACTTATCTACCTTTTAAATTAAATATTTAGGCACTTTTTTACAGTATTTTGTCTGAAGGGCATTTATTTTCCTCCTGTTTGTTGAATCAAAGAAAGATAACAATATTGATAGATGTATAATAACATTTTAGCACCAAAGAGCTACTAGCTGAGAGCTTCCTTCTCTTAGGTCCTGTTAAATCTTTGCAGATTTTCTTTTTTGATAAACACCCAGATAAAGACCCAGAGAGCCCCTAATGAAATCACTTAAACAGACTACGAAAAGTCCGGCTTTCAGAAACTAAACACAAACTAACTCATGCTGACTCCAAGCATTTTGTACGGACAGACTCCAAGCTGCTCTGGACTCGGCCTTGATGCTGGAGCTGGGCCCTAAGGGACTGCTGGTGTTCGAGGATTACACCAAGACCAACTCCTCAAGCTCAAACCTCGCACAGCGCAAAGGGATTCCAGGTAGCCCCTGCTTTAACTCTCTCGCTCTCTCTGCACACGTGTCTTCTGCATGTCTCTGTCTGTGATGCATTTGTTCCAGTTACTGATGGTGTGATTCCCTCAGTGCCCCAGAGACCCACTCTGCAGCCCCAGGAGCGCGGCTCAGCCTCCGGCAGCAGCGTCGCCGTTTACTGGAATGTCAGTCCGGGAGACGTCATAGACTGCTTTCAGGTCTACTGCGTGGAGGAGCCACAAGGAGGTGAGAACGGGGGAGTTAGTGGCAAAGTTTAGTTTTTAGTTTTTTAACTTTATTTTAACTAAACTTCCATTGGTGGATTTTACTGCTTCCAGCTGTGTCAGAGGAATACCGCGTGACGGTGAAGGAGAGCTACTGTGTTCTGGAGGACTTGGAGCCTGACAGGAAGTACAAGGTGTGGGTGATGGCCGTCAACTACTCTGGCTGCTCTCTGCCCAGTGACAGACTCATCTTCACAACAGGTTAGCGCACATCTTGAAGCTTACTTTCATTTGGGCTTATAAAACTGCTCTTAAATGCTTTTTTTTTTTCACCGGAAAGAGCTTCTTGAATTTTTTGAAATGCGATTTCAAACCTTGATGTTGTTGTTTTCTGGCAGCTCCATCCGTGCCAGTGATCAACACCGAGCGCAGCAGCGTCATGTGGGACTCCGCCACGCTGAGGTGGAGCTCAACTAATCCATCTCCAGGACTGAGTTACACTTTGGAGTACTGCCGACAGTACGAACTGGAGGGAGAGGGACTCAGGTGGGGGTCTGTTGGTGGGAATGACGCACATCTGAAACGGTTCATTTCTGGTGCGCATCATTGGGTATAGAACCAAAATATTGATGTTCCTCAAACATTTTGTCAGATTACAGCCAAAAACTTCTACGTATGTGGGAATTTATCTCTTTGATCAACACAAAGTAGAAAGAAAATGATATGTAAGGTTTTTAATTGGTTTTACAAATAGAAATATGTGGGGGGGTGGGGAATCGATTCAGCGAATCCTGAATCAATATTTTTGAAATCAACATTTGGATTAAATTTAAGTTTCTGTTCTTTTGTTCTTTCTTGAACATAAATATCGGATTTGTGAAGTGCACAACTAATCGCCCTGCCGGATTGATACTGAGATTAAATTACTTATGGGTATCAGAGTAGAGGGTTACTAAAGACACGTTCAAGACAAATGTTTCAGATTTTTTGCAAAAAACAAAAACAAAAAACAAAACAAAAAGTAAAAACATTTTGTTTTTCTAATAATCAGTATTTCTCTTTTTTTGTGAAGGTCGATCACACTAAATTTCAATTAAACAAAGTGAACCTTTGTGGTTGTAGCCCAACAAAAAGTGGAAAACTTTAGGAGGTGTGAATACGTTTGCAAGGCACTGTTTCTTCACAGTGCAATTTTTTTTCCTGCTACATTTTATTATACAGAACATACATGTCAAACCAATGCATGTGCTGCGTGTGGGGGCGTGTTTTCAGATCTATCGCGGGAATCGAAGGGTGTGAGCAGACGGTCGTCCTGCAGCCGAATGAGAACTACCTGTTTTACATCAAAGCTGTGAGCGAGGCTGGCGCCAGCGAGCAGAGTGAGGCCGCACTCGTTTCCACTAAAGGTGCGAAAGCCTTCAAATCTCTGTGTTTATTTGTGGCTGTTTAATTTCCACGTATTTCGCTCACATCTGTCTTGTTTTTTTTTTAGGGACCAGATTCCAGCTGCTACAGTCCTCCGCTCACCCGTCTCTGAAGCTGTCAGATGATCGCACCACGCTGCAGTACTCCCATGATGCTCACCGCGCTTCAAACGAGGAGTAAGCGTAACCCAGAAACAGCTGCTTTCCGCAGCCAGTATAGGGAGATTTTCATCTGGCCACCGTTTGTTTGTTTCCAGGTGTCCGTCCATCCTGGGCGAGTTGCTGCCTTCACGAGGGATCTACTACTGGGAGACACTGGTGTCAGAAAGTCCAGCTTACAGGCTTGGAGTAGCGTGCAGTGCAGATTATCTGAACTGCTCACTCGGAGAAAACAGCTCCTCGTGGTGCCTGCAGTGCAGTCCTGGACCATCAGGGTGCGCAGAGGAAAACCGTTATTCATTACGAAGAAACTCCTTGTTATGATTTGAGTCTAAAGCCTTTACGTTCCTCTTTCTGTCCAGCTGTAGGTATCAGTTACTGCACAGCGACGTTCAGTCCTCCGTGTTCGTCACAGAGAGTCCTGAGCGAGTGGGAACCCTCCTGGATCAGCAGCTGGGATGCCTGTCTTTCTACAACGCCCGCAGTGGCCAGTTGTTGGGTTCCTTCCCGCAGCGAGGCGGCCGGCCCTGCCGCCCTGCTCTGGCCCTGGATCAGCCAGGCAGCCTGCAGGTCTGCATGGTGCCAGAAATACCCGAGTTTACAAAGGACCGCTTGCTCTGACACTCGCCTCGCTCACTGTAAGGTTTACAAAAAAAAAAAAAAAAAAACCTGGACATTTATTGGTTTTATATTATCTCAGTTTGTAATGATTCAAAACGACCACTGCTGGAGAATACTGTTACTAACCTGATTATAAATGTGTGTTTTTTTCCTAAAACGTCTCGATCAGAACTGACTTCTTAGAAGCAAACTAAATTAAATGTGTTAGTGTATCTTATAGCAGAAGTTATAAACCTCCCCTTCGCACCAGACTGCGACTGCGATGTGACATAAAATCAACACGTCGCCTACTGTTTTAAATATGCTCCAAATTTCTGTGGTGAGATAGTTATGGGTCAGTGTCATGGTGACCGACTATCTGAGTTTGGGTGCTGCATGGGGCAGCGGTGGTTTATCCATGAAGAGTGACCCAGATGTCTTTCCAATTGAGTTTGGAAAGGCGAGGTTGTCAGCAGCCAAATGGTGATGACTCGGCTGCAAAAAAAAAAAAAAAAAAAAAAACAACAGAATGACTCCAAACTGCTGAAATGCACAATTCACACTCTGAAAATCAAAACACTAAACACCCTCCCTGTTCTCACTCTATTTGCACAAACAGATCAATCTGTGAAATTTGGAGGCACGCACCCCCAAATTTCACATACCGTTTGACCCGAGTCCATGGGAATGAAGTTTATATTCACAATGTGTCTCTCGTGCTCCTAAAGACAACTCCTGGCATGTCCAGCAGTGACGAAGGATGAGAAAGAGGAAGAAAAGATCATGACTGTAGTTCCCTCCCAACACATTATCACCAAAGTGATTATGGAGGTGCGGAAATCTTCCATGTAAAGCCAATGTGATTAAATTTAGAGAAACTTTTACAACTGCAGTCAAATAATCCTGGACGTTGGAGAGTCTCAGTCTGGCGTGAGGGTGGCCTCAGTTTCCAGATTGTTTAGTTTTGTTTTTCAAGAGACAATGGGAATGCTGTGGTAATTTTGTAATGACTCATCCCTGTTTGAGTTTTGTACCGTTTTAATACTATTTTATGTTTTTCTACATGTTACATGATCCGGTGGGCATGCATGTTGTCAAATCAAACATCGTTTGCATTTAGTGTATGTAGTTCAGGGCTTCTCTTCTCATAGTACGACTGTAAGTTTATACTTCCAAGCTGATAGTTGCTGCTTTCAAACCGTTTCATACTGTGAAGTTTTTTTGTTCTTTTTTTTTGTAAATAACCTTTTTAAACAGAAGTGGCCTCTCGTCAGCGTTATGTGTTACTGAAACTCTTATTTTTATTATTTTGTAAAATAATTTCTTTTTCTGAAAAGTCTGGATGTTTTTAAGATAGTTTTGTTGGTTTAACATCATTTCACCGCTAGAGGGCCTCAGCACGCCATCTGCTGTAATGTTTTCCAGTACATTTCCCCCATAAATAATAAAACCAGACCTGGCTTCACTGTAAACCAGGACTTACACATTTGTAGAAACATGTCTACTTAGTGATCTGTTTCACTAATTCAAACTTCTTTATTAAAAATAAAAAAGGCCTTTTGAAGCCAATGTCACCCGCTGTTGTACTTTCCCGAAGGACACGTTGTTCAGCTACTGTGCAGCCACTCACCTTTTCTAAGGGGGAAGAGAAAGTGGGACAGAGGAGGGCACACACATGCAACCTATCAGGGACACTTAGTGGTCTCGGCTTCAGGAGTTGGACTGCTCTGCTGCTGCATGGCTTTTCTGAAATTATACTTTCTGCCTTCCTGTAGATGAGACAGCAAACACATACAAGTTGTTCAAGTACAAGTGGGAGCAAAATGTAACTTTTTGCTCTTCATGCTACCATCCTACATCATGTCGAACACTTCAGCATCACGCTGTGAGGAAGGATGTTTTTCTTTAGCAGAGCTGGGGAAACAGGTCAGAGTTGATGGGTAGATGGTCTGAACTAAATTCAGGACAATCCCTGTAAAAACCCCAATAAAAACAGTCTGACATTTGTGATCGTAATGAACCCAATCATGAAAAATCTCTAGAGGTATTAATACTTTTGCGAGGCATTATAAAACTAACGCACCTCAGCAGGAGCCTCTTTTTACAAGACCAGCTTAGCCTGTATCTGATGTCAACAAAAGCGTCATTTTTCCACATCTGCAGCCAAAACCAGACTGAAGTTCTGTGTCTCTTCCAACATCCAAACAAGGGGCCACATTTATCGGAAAGGTGGGTGTTGTTACGAGAAAGCACGAGGCGCCCAAAAACCTGTCCGTGTGACCTGAAGGGATCATTTTCACCGTTTAAATGTTTGGAAATGCCACCAGGAGTCTGTTCGGTTTGCAAAAGGAAAAAAAAAAAAGAAAAAACTAACTAAAAAACCCACAGATGTCGTTTCTGTTTGGTACTTTTTGTATTTAAATAATGTAAAGGCATGTTATGAACAAAAGCAACAAACATGGGAAATATAATTTATGACGTGTGTATAAAAACTCACAGGAACATTTTGGAAGAAGAAACCAGCAGTCATGAAGGCACACTGCAACCATCTGTTGACTGGCAGCAACAATATTTCTAAAAGATGGCGCTTCAGAGGGAATGTAACACTGAATGTGAGGAAGTCTGGTCAGAAGATGGAAAAGACGGGGCCTGTTAACGCATGAAGAACTTCATAGTATTCAGTCCATAAACAAAAACAAGCAAAGCAGCTAATGAGACTCACTTGGGTTTAAACAGAGGAAATAAACAGGCACAGCAAATCACGCAAAACATGGCAGAAAAAAACAAATAAATGTGCAAAAATAGCTGCATAGAAACGAAGGCAACAAACGAGGCGGTTTGATTGTTAAATGTCACAATAAGACACACATATGCACACACACACAGAATCAGTCCCAAATGTTATGCGTGAGCAAGTCGATTCAAAGTGCAAATCTTTAGTGTTTTTGACAAAACTGATCAGCCCTAATAGGAGGAAATCACAACAAAGCAATTATAATCATCTTATTTAAAACTATGGAAGCAACCCTCGACAAAAGAAAAACTGACTGAATGCCTGCCATCCTGATTGCATGCAGACTTTAGATTTACTACTGCAAAAGAAATTACTGAACGTTTTACAGCCGATGCGAAAAATCTAAATAAAACATCCTGTGCTCTCGGCATATACCCTCCACAGTAAATAACGCTTTTTAAATGGACGGATATTAAATATTCTCAGGCTTTAACAAAAATCTGCACCACAACACAGGCTGCAAGAGATCACCTCAAGCAGGAAGAACTTAAGAGGTATATCCCTGTAAATAAAATCAGCAGAACGATAAAAGAAAAGCAGTGTGCACCACCAATGTTCCTCTCTGGACGTTTCGGTTCCTTTGGCGTCCCTTTCAATATTTCGCGTCTTCGTCATCCAGCACCGCTTCGTAGATTTCCACTCTTGACCACATGCATGCTCTCTTCATTTTTATAAATACATCTCACATGCACTTTTCCTTCGTTCCTGATGAACATCTTTAAAATCCATCGTCGTCATAAAAATAGTCTCTTAATTATACAGTCTTAATAACATGATTAATGAAAATTCTTCCATTTCAGCCACAGTAGTCCTGGTTCATGAGTTTTTTTTTCCCCCTTGTCAGTATGTTGGGTTTGGTTGAGGTCAACACGGCACTGCCCAGCGAGTCGTGCAGCTGGATCAGAGCTGGACGGTCGGTCGTTAGGCCGGGGTAGAGTTCTTTGAAGAAGACAGACTGGGTTTGGGTTCGGTTCTGTGAGGTTTGTGCTGCGGGCTGCTGCGAAGGTTGTCATCCATCTACAATTACAAAAAACAAAACAAAAAGCAATTCAGCTCTTTCTGCAAATATAGTAACATTCTGTGTCAGAAATGTTCACAAGTCCATTTTCCTCATCGCATACATGTCGTCTAATCATGAATTCGACACCAGTAATCTCTGTCCTTGAGCCTAACTTCACAAATAAATATCTAAATATTTGTCTTTAGGTTTATTTTGCTCTGCAACCAGTCAACCTAAGGTCATATAACAGTGTTCAGTTACACAGTAAAATAAAGTTTGGTAAATGTGATGAAGCAGAAGCCAACAACGACAGATCCTTCTGAGCTGATAACAGACCTGTGAACATCACAGGCTAAAACAACAAACAAACAAAGTTTGAGTTTTTAAAGTGTAAATGTTCCAGTCAGATCAGGTCAGTTTGGCTCAAATAACATAAGTTTGCAAGATAAGATGAAAAGATGCTCATATTGCCTAAATCTTTGCTTTATTAGCCAATGTATTTAAGATAATAACAACAAGGCTATAGACTTTTGCCACTCCTCTTAGCATCACTAAATATAACCATCTGGCCTTAAAAATTCACGACTTCCTTCCAGCTTCCTTCAGCCAGTCTACATGTACAACTTGGAGGTGTGGACTCTTCTCTCCAGCTCAGAGCTCAACCATTAAGATGCACAGTGGAAACAAATCTCTAGGGAAAGGGTTTTTCCTGAGAATTGTTTGGATTGTTCATTAGATTTGCTTGATGAGACCCTTTATGTTGCAGACAGGAAGACATTATCAGGTTAATCTGAGCGTTACTAGCCCTACCAGCTAATCCTCATTAAAATGATCTGAAGACAGAGCCACACAGGTATGAACTAGTTAAACATCGTGAATGAGAAAGAATTTGCAGACACCAGCTTCTGCTTTATTTTTAATGTTTCATTGCCGTCTTAGCATCTAAATACACAACTGTGTCGGTGCCTGCTGAGAGCGTCCAAAGAACAGATGCAAAAGAGGAGAAATGGAAAGCAGAAGCACCTTTTCTATTAAGTTGGACTCTTTGTTTACAAGCTGTGTTAGTTTCTGCAGGTTGGCGTCCATTGTTTCCTGAACAGGCGGAAGAAGACCTGGAAAAAGGTGGAAGGAGGACGATACACACAGAGAAGAAGAAACATCAAAATGAGAGAGGTTTGATGAATTAGGACAGAAAAGTAAAGCAGGTGCAAAGAAACAAAGAGGTGATTGTGTTAGTTTAGCATCCTCGTTATTGACGTGATTTCATCACGATTAAGTCCTACAGAATATTTCCACTGCGTGCAGCGATCTTACGGGGTTCATCCGGACTGAAGTGGGCTGCGAGGACGTTGTCACAGAAACGAGTGAGGTTGTCCAGCTGCCTGAGGTGGCTCTGCAGAGGGCTGCTGGCCAGGTCTGCTTTGTGAAGCGGAGCCAAGAAACCAAACGCAAAGGCATCCAGACTGGTTGGGCTGTGTAAACGACATATCGACGTATGTAGAGATAATAACTTACAGAAACGCTTAAAAAGGATTTGCTAAAAGGTAAATTAACTCACGAGTTGTCAAAGAAATAGTCTGCAGTTCCCAGTCTGTAGGAGAGGAGGTTCAGGCACTCTTTAGCATCACTGTAGATCTGATGTGAAGCAGAAAAGAAGCATCACCCATGAAATACCAACATCTGACTGGAAACCAGCCGGAGCCGACGGCGCTTTGGGCAGACTTGCCTTTCCCTCCACCTCAGAGATCCTGTGCAGCAGCCCCTCTCCTCTGGTTACCAGGATGCGAGCGAGGGCGACATTTGCAAGGCGACTCGGGATGAAAAAGTTTAGCGGGAACGGTGAGCGGGAAGCAAACCACGGCCGTGTCAGGTTGCTGTAATTCTCTGCATCCACCCAGAATGTGTGCAGCTGTAGGCAACAAAAAACATTGTCTTGAAAATTTTCATTGCATTTTAAAAAAAAAGAAAAAAAAAGGGAGAGGGGCAACGCTGGTACCAGAGCTGGTCGCAGTTTCTCCTCAAGTAGAGCGATGTAGGCCATTGTGTCTGCTCCCTGTCTGGCTGTCAGCTCATAGTCTGCATTAAACCTCTGCAAGAACAGAACAACAGTGATGCATATTACTGCTGATTCCATCAAATATGCGTGAAAAATCTTATTTTCTTCTTTTAGGTCTGTTGGGTTTAACAGCACTGATACAAAATCACCTTAAACTGCTTCTGGTTGTTAATGCAGCCAAGAGAGCTGCTGATGTCTATTCTTCACATTGCAGGGGTCAAGTTGCAAGCACTGTGCTGCCAACTAGTGGTCAGAGTGCAAACAACAACTGGCTGTGTGTGCTGCAGTTAAAATTCAAAGCCATGTTTGGCAATAGAAGCAACAATGAAATAATCTAAATGGTACCCAAAAGTGGCAAATCTGTTAAATTACCATTATGCCCAAGTAAAGTAGGTAAAGATGCTAATACTATCCTAATATTCTGTTGTTGGTCAAATAGAAATCATAACATTATTCTGATTTCATGTAAGAAACAGTCTTTTTATATGGGGTCTGTCAACTAGTTTCAGTTGTATCATTGTGTAGACCCTGAACAAGCCGACCCAGTCACCTGTTTCCTCAGGAAGTTCAGAATCTGTGTTGGTTCCTGAACAACAGTGTCTCCACAAACCAGCTCTGGGACGCTCGCTGGGGACAAACGAGAAAAAAATAATGAGCAGACTGAAGGTGACAATGCAGATATAGAGATGTAAAGCATCCTCATTAGAAACTAAACTATGGATCCTGTGAATAAGATATGAATAAAGTAAATGTCTAAACAGTTTACCAATGTTTAACATGCACAAACCATCTCAGGAGGGAAGAGCACTCTCCTCTCCTGTTGCAGTACTCTGACCACAGAGCTGCACAGGTCATGTCAACAAGAGGCCCACCTGTTAAGGTTTTCCATGTCCAGTCCACAGGAGAAACTGAGAGCTTTGCTCCTGAAAACTTTGCATAGGCCTGGAGGGAAAAAAGGAGGAAAAACTGGTAAGAAAAAGAGAAAATTGATAATTCAAATTTGTATCAAAAGGTTTTCTGCAGAAATGACAAATCCGCATAGAAAACATTGTCTAAGGAGTGTTTTTAGGTCAATATTTCTCACAATTTTTCTATTTCAAAATTCCACATTTTTTTCAGGTATTTACATGTTTAGTTATATCCATCTTTCACACTTTAAAGGGCTATTTCACAGCTTTTCAGAATGGATAACATCTCCACCTGTCCAATCTGAACTGGATTATATTACAATACACATCATTTAAAGCACAAACTGACATCTTTGAGACTTTTATTGTTGTTTGAAAAAATGTACCAAAAACAGTTCAATGGCTTTCAATTATTTGTTCTGCTTCAGATAAAAAGAAATTTGAAGCAAAACCCAGTTTAAGAGTCACAGTTCGAGGTTTTAAACGTTGACTTGAAAGGGCTTCGCTATCAGTAACAGTAAAACTTTTACAGCTGCTGCATTTTGCTTGATAAAAAAAAAAGCTTGTACATGTCCATTGAAAGATCCAGATTGGACATGGCAAAATATGGAAAACAAATAAATACATTTTCTCAGATCAGTTCTTTCTGAAAATTAGAATATTACAACATCTTCAAAACAGGGATTAATACCATAAAATATCTGATACGATGCATTTTATTACTACTGAGTCACATAAAGATAAGCAATAATAAAAAATATAATAGACTGTACACTAAGATCAAATGTGCAACGCAATAAAATTCTCTACACAAATACAAAAATACTCTGAGTATTTTTACTTAAACTAAAGAACAAGACTTAATCTAAAGTTATTTCCAAATACACCTTTAGTTACATTTCATTGTAGGACACATATTTAATCTGTGTAAGTATAAAGAAGTAAATGTCCTTTCAGATATAGGAGGAATTAAGAAACGTGCATACGTTTTAACTTCATATTTTAGTTGATGACATTTACTAAATACTTTTGAGCAAAATGAATAAGAACAAAAATGAGAACAAATTATGCAAAAGATATAAAATTTTTGTCAAAATGTTTTTGACTAATAGGTTATCATCAACACTGTAGCTTATACTACGTACTTTAAAATACTGTAAATGACTATATTATGACTATAAACAAGAAAAAGTGCTCCCTTGTGGCCAGAGTTGGTACTGCATGTGCTCAATGACAGCACGTCCTACAGCAATCAAACGCTACCGTAGACTTCCTGCAGGTTTAATAGCAGGTTTATGGTCAGCGACTAGCTAATAAATAAGCTGACATGGAGTCAAAAGAAACAAAAATAAGAGTTTTATCAAGCTGACCTTGAAGGACAACATTTATTTAAATGGAGGAGTGACTTCTGACAGACAGCTACACATGAAGGACAAACCTCTGCAGGCAGCAGCTCTTTCTGTGCAGCTGCGGTATTCAGCCGGACAGGACATTTCATCTGTTCATCCCACAGAGCTTCCTACTGTTTCTAACAACACTGCTGCAGCTGCGTTAGCATTGAAGCTAACGAGAGGAACAACAGGAGACACTCTAGCGAAAACCAAAAAAAGGTACCCCGGCTTGTTAAAAGCTGCTGTGGACGAACAGACTGACTTTGTTGAGAGCAAACGGGGATCTTACCAGAACTACGAGAGAGTCGGTGTGGACAGAGGGAAGCCCCCAGTCTCCTCCCCAGCATCTCAGCTCCATGGCAGCCGCCATATTTTTGATTCATACAGAGCTGAGGACGTGACGGCATAGCTGTCACATCTCTGCGCGCGAGACAAATAGATCAAAGAAACACGGGCGAACAAGATATGAAAATAGTCAGAAAAATTAGGTGAAAAGTACGATCACTACGTTAAACAAAATGTCCAACGTTATAAAAGAAACATTTCTCTGTGTTCTTACACCAAGTGCAAAATAGTTTTCTTTTTAACTGTCCAGTGAAAACATATAGAATTACTTAAATTAGATGATTAATGTACACAAGTCTTAAAATTTTATATTTTATTTGGATTACAAAAACATTATTAAAAACAATATGTTTATTTACCGTATCTAAATGGTGTTTTGTAGGGAAAAACAGATATTTACAACTAAAACTGTATGCTACCATTTGTGTATATTCTGTCCCTTACCAGAGTCAAAACTTTGTCTTTCAGAATCGCCCAAGCTCACTTAGATTGAATGAAATGCTACATGTTCTCTATTGGATTCAGGTCTAGACTTTGACCGGGCCATCTTAACACATGGTAAGTTGTTCCATTACAGCTGTGGCTGAGTCGCTTTCTGCTGAAGGATGAACTATGATCTCAAGTTGGATCCAAACTTGGGATGCATTACTTTATAATGTTGCTTTAAACATCTCCATAACTTTATCCCTCACCTGGCCGCTGATCTTAATCTTTATGATGCTGTTTGCTCAATAATATTCTCTAACAATCCTCTGAGTGTTCACAATTTAAACTGAGATTATATTTTAGGGTCTGAAAACAAAAGTGCACCACACTTTTCAGAGTTTTATTTGGAAAAAGGAATTTTGAAAACCATGAACACTTTTTCTTCAACTTCAACATTGTATTCTACATTGAATAGGTCTATATAAATCCCAATATAAATTCAGTAACATAATAAATCTTGAAAGCGTTGAAGGGATTTGGATACTTTGCAATGCACTTCGAGTTTTATCCCACAGCTGATGTAACGCTGAAGTTTGCCAGCCGTTTGGTCAGAGTCCAGAGAGCCAGACTCAGCCGGATGTTCAATGGAAACGCTCAGAGGAATGGTAAATGTCTCTCTGACTTAGACAAACAGCTGTTAAAATATGCCTGAGGTCAACAGAGAAAGCGTGAACCAGACGTCTATTGTTCCATATTTCCACTCAAGTCTTACCCTGTTTGTCCTGCTTTTCCTGCAAGCCTGCACTAGATTAGAGAAAAAAAGGGCTGCAGTGGCGTGTAGAGGACATAACCTGGAAACATAAGGAGACTGAAAACATCTGCCTTAGATTTATACAGATCAGCAGGCTGTTTAAATATTACCCAAGGGGATCACATCCATTTCTGAGACGAAGTTTTGCAATATCTGGGAAAAATGACAATTTCCAGAATAGTTATTTTTTTCAGATGGCTGGGTTTGTGTATAGAAGTTTTAAAATATTTCATTTTAAAACACAAGACGCACAAAACTCAAGAAATTCTATGTTTACCTTGCACTGAATGTGCTCATTAGAACAGAAAATTCACCCATGCAATGGAAGTAATCGCTCCAGTGCCTTGTTTTGTATTCAGATGTTTGCAATTACTGTAAGGGTGATGATATTCTGACCAAACTGTATACATAAGACGGTACAGAGAAGCAACTCCCCCGCAATTATAACCAAACACAAGTACTCACTTACAGTGCCACCAGTGAGCAAGGACACTCCCCTTTACTTTATAAGCTGTGCCTGTGGACAAAAAACAACATCTAACCTCTGCCGTGTGAGATCTGTCCGTTCACCTTCATCAGTCGACAGGAGACTTCTGAAATATTTTCTTGAAGTGTCGCTTGGTGACTGGAATGTGTTTCCAAGCAGCAGCTCTATGGCTGGTGCTGCAGCAACTGCTGCTCACTGTCTCAGCTGAGGGTATTGGTAAGTACCGCTTCTGCTCTCGTGGAAAACATATTTACCAAAGATTTTGGTAGTCTGTAGCTATGAAACGTTTTCCATTTCAACATGAGAAAAAATAGGAGTGCAGATGCAGTGGAAGGTGAACTTAAAGCAAGTTTTTTTCCCCCTGAACTTTAGAGTCTGATGTTGTGATCTAATGACAAACCAACCTAGACGAGATGGCTTAGGGGAGCACATTACTGAGATCTAAGCTTTCCCAGAGTCTGCATTCAACTTTTTTCATTCAACTTTGTGTCACTTTGTGTTATTCTTTGAATCCGTCATTTGTGTTTGTGCATGTAAGTGCAGCACAAAGAGGTTTTTCCTCAGTGGACAGAATTTACTGCGGCTCTATAAAAACACAGCAGGATGCTAACATGAAAGTTCACTTGCACACACAAACATACATATATGCACGCACATCACAAAGGGCTTCTGTCACACTCAGCAAAGAGCCGCAACACAGTGACTCAGGAGTAGTAATTGGGCTACACCGGATCACAGAACCACTTAAAGTCTGCCAGATAGAGCACTTTACCTTCGTCCGCTCTCTCCTGAAAGCATTAATGTGATTTATTGAGATTTCACTTTATGAATTGTTTTCATTTTAAATTCTCTTACACATAGACATCTGAAAAGCGTGGTATGCATGTGAAAACCTCCCTGAAGCTGAAGTTGAGATTAAAGACTCCACACATGAAGCAAACGCTGAATTATGCACTACAGTAGTTTGTGTTTACAACATGCAATCCCACTAAATTACACTGAAAAAGGATTAATAAGCTCTTTGGTCCCTCTAATTTACTGCTTTGCTGTTATTTGATGCGCAGCCCATTCCTCTAACAGCTCTCTCCTGTGTTAGTCTACGACCTGCTGGTGTCTCCAGACTGCCTGCCAGACTTGCTCCAAGGAAGCCTGAAGAACAAAGGCAGGGATGAGGCGTTCCTCCTCTCGTCCTTCAGGCTCCAAAACAGGGCCCCCACCTCTCTGTTCAGTGTGCTCAACCCCAAAGACAACACCAAGTACCTGGAGCTGAATGTGCAAGCCAAACTGAGCAAAAGTGGGTTTGTTCTGCCAACGCCTCATTGTTCTGTGAGTCCACGCCGGTTCTGATGCCTCTGTTTATCGCTCCGTCTCCAGTGACGCTTCGTTACCAGAAGACCGACGGCAGGTTTGGCACCACCAGTTTCAACCACGGCTCCCTGGCAGACGGACGGGAGCACCACGTCATGATGCACGCCAGCGGCCTCCAGCGCGGCCCGCCTCGCCTTAACATCTACGTCGACTGCAGGCTCGCTCATACTGTGAATGACCTGCCGGCCGCGTTCGGGTCACTCCCACCTGGGCCCAACAAGGTGGCACTGAGGACCCTGCAGTCAAGCGGACAGGTGAATGAGAGATCTGTGATGAGAATGTATGGCTGTGGCCGTTGTTCAGGCTTTTATGCGCTCCGTTTTATTTCTCTGTCAGGATAACCTGACAGACTTGAAGCTGGTCATTGAGGACACCATCGACAACGTGGCCACGCTGCAGGACTGCAGCATGGAACCAGCGGAGTCTCTGCACCTGCTGGGTGTGTTGACATGGGCCTATGGTGTCCCAAGCTGGTTGTGTCTGAGAGTTTTTATGCTGATTCATAACTTTGCTCAGGTTTCCAGGGAGGCAGGGTGGTGCAAGATCAGACCAGCATACAGGAGCTGAAGAGCATGCTGTCTGAGATGAGGGAGCTGCTCCACAAGCAGGTCTTGTGTCCTCTGTCTCCATTTGTCAGTCTGTTTCTAATGCATGGAAAGGGAGAAAGCTCTCAGAGTTGCTCTGAAATAAAGTAAAATCACAATGGAGAGTAGATTTGAGGGAATCATACTGGAAGCAGCTGAAGGTTAGAAGATTTTTTTTAAATTCTTTTTTCAATTTGGTTTCTATGGAGATCCGAAGACGGTGTGATTCAATGAAGAAAAATATATTTAAACAAAAGTTTATTAAATGTTTAAATACTTTGATAATTGTATTTATAAAAATCATGTATAATTATTACGCTATTCAATCTTATGTTCCTAAGCTGTGGATTCATAAAGATATTAATTATATGTTTCTGTTCCATCAGACTAAATAAGCTAATACAGTTTAACCAAGTAGATGTTAGGGGCTGTGTAAAGAGCCACAGTAAGAGTTAGTCAAATGTGAATGTTAAACAGTGAGGCAGAAACATTCTGCTATTTTTTTAGTCTGATTTTTAAGATGTCATCATTCAGAATTTCCATTGTAGCTGAAAGATAATATTCTAACAATGTTCACGATGCTCTGATGTAGATTAAGGAAACAAACTTTCTGAGGAACACCATTGCTGAGTGTCTGGCTTGTGGTAAGCAGTAAAAAAAAAGGTCTTCCTCCTTGTATACAGTGTTTAAACTCTGTTGAAACAAGAGACATGAACTTTTTTCTGTTTTCACTCACAGGACTCGGAGGTAGTCCCACCAACCCTGTCCCAGGTCCGAGTCCTGAGCAGGTGGTCATTCCTTCCCATCTGACTGGGTGCCCGCCAGGGACCTGTTTCAGACAGAACATGTGCATTTCCTCAGAGTCAGGGGGCTTCCAGTGCGCCCCCTGTCCTGATGGATACACAGGAGACGGGGTTCACTGTGACGACGTAGATGAGGTATGGATTAAGCTTTGTAATTCACGTTGCGGCACCTGGCAGCGCTCAGCTACTCATAATCTTTCTTCTCTGCTTTTGAGTTTTAGTGCAGCTTTAATCCGTGTTTCCCTGGCGTCCGCTGTGTGAACACCGCTCCTGGTTTCCGCTGCGAGAAATGCCCCGTGGGATACATGGGACCAGAGATCAATGGCGTCGGAGTGTCTTACGCCAAATCACACAAACAGGTCTAACTCAGCCCTCCCTGCTGTATATTGTAGATCTTTTTACCTCACAAAAATACCCTACCTAGTGTTTTGTGTCTGACGTTTCCTCCTCTCCCAGGTGTGTGAAGATTTAGACGAGTGTCTGGGCCCGCCTGAGAACGGAGGCTGCACCCCCAACTCCCTCTGCTACAACACTATTGTAAGACCACTTTATGTACAGTGTGCCATTTTAATAGATGAGGACAGCCATCTCTGACTGTGTCTTCCTCCTCAGGGCTCCTTCCGATGTGGAGAGTGTAGGGCTGGTTTCACTGGTGACCAGTTGACAGGCTGTCATGGCACCAGACTGTGCCCCAATGGTCAGCCGAACCCTTGCGACGTCAATGGGGAGTGCATTGTGGAGAGAGATGGAAGCATTAGTTGTGTGGTAGGTATTCTCAACAGGCATCGATGTAAAGAATATGTTTGTCACTGCAATATGTTGATAAACTTTTTTGTTGTTGTTGTAATCGTAGTGCGGTATTGGTTGGGCTGGTAATGGCTACGAATGTGGGAAGGACACAGATATTGATGCGTATCCAGACAATAATCTTGTGTGCAGAGACAACAACTGTAACCAGGTACTCCATTCCTACGTCCTCCTCCCATTCTCATGTTCAACCCAGGCTTGCGTCAGAAACTATTGTGTGTGTGTTTTCCAGGACAACTGTGTGTTTGTGCCCAACTCTGGCCAAGAGGATGCGGACAGGGACGGGTCTGGTGACGCCTGTGATGACGATGCAGACAATGACGGCATCATTAACATAGACGTAGGTGACTTAGCTCATCATATGTAGAGTAGATTTGGTGCCTTTCAGAATGATATTTGCGCCTTGAATTTTCATATTTTGTGAGTTTACAACCATAAATTTGATTGTGGCTTTCCCATTTTTGCTGAAGTAAGGCATTCCTACAGCATGATGCTCTCACCACCATGTTTCACTAATGGGGCATGTTATGTTTTGGGTGATTTGTTAGAGCATTTTTAGCTTCACTTCAGAAATATGCATGTTATGGTAAAAGAGCTCTCTAACTGTGTAAGTGGAAGTGACTAAATTAGACATAATAAAGAAAGTTACAATGAAGGCAGTAATCTGATTAAAATCATTTCCACTTAAGTGTTTTCATGTATAATTTTTTTCTTATCTCTGTCAAAATGTTAAAAAAAGTATGAACTATCGTTGCATGGAGGTGTGTGTAACTTTTGTGTTGAAAAAAAACAAAACAACAACAACTAATTTGTCTGTCCCAGGATAACTGCTGGTTGGTCCCAAATGTGGACCAGAAGAATAGTGATAAAGACATCCACGGCGACGCCTGCGATAACTGCAAAACAATCCAAAATCCCTCACAGAGGGACACGGACAAGGACGGACTGGGAGACGAATGTGACGACGACATGGACGGAGACGGTAAGAGTGTGAATAATTAGTTTGATGGCTGTTTATCGGATCAGGAGTGTAAGTTTTTGTTTTATACGTGGTCAGATTATGGGAAGTGGCCTTTCCCTGGTTTTATTGCCTAAATTACTTCAAAAGAAAAGAGGAACCAAGAGTGAAAGCAGTCATCTGATAAAAGCATTACCGGTCGGAGAGGATTTTCCAGAGGCCAGTCTGTCTGGACATAAGAACCTTCCTGTTAGGAGGACGCAGACGGGAACATTTGTTATTGCCTTTCTGTGAAAAACATCCCCCTGCTTCTTTAGTGTCTGTTTCAGTCAACATATTCTACCTGTTAGATCTCTGGGTTTCAGGATATGCTAATACAGAGCAGTGTTGCATAAAAGAACTCCAACTGCTAAATGTTTTCCCCGAAAGCTTTCCCCCTCATACCTTAGTTAATCGGCGTTCGGTGGGAACTCTGATTAACTCCGATGGAAAATTCTTGCCTTTTGTGTTTACCCATTGTTCGGTGTTGGGCTTGGCGGTTCTCCCTCGTCTTGGTCATTCTCGGTAATGTTTTTAACTCTGTGGTCAGATTGCGGAGAACTAGCTCATGTCTGTCTCGTCATTTAGATAATTTTTTCCGTGGCAAGCCATTGCCAGGAGCTGAAGACCACTGGAAACTATTTCACCATCAATTTGAAACAAACGCTGCCATCTGGTGATGCATTCCGACTGCCCTGGAGGCTACATCCAACCAGCCGCTGTGCTTTTAATCCTGTTTCCAGGCTTGAAAAACGTTCTTGACAACTGCCAGCGAGTCCCGAACCCAGATCAGGCAGACAGGGACAACGACGGCGTAGGGGACGCGTGTGACAGCTGTCCTGACGTGGCCAACCCTAATCAGGTAACAATAAAACACCAATTGGGAGATTTCTCTTCCATGTCACCAACTGAGTTTGTGCCACTCGCCTGCAGTCGGACTCAGACGACGACCTAGTAGGAGATACCTGTGATGACAACATAGACAGGTACACCCTGCGTTACTGGCTGATGGTCTTGAAAGTGTTTTTCTTTTTTCTTTTTTACCCGTTTCTTCTTTTTTTTATTGTCAGTGACGGTGACGGTCACCAGAACACGAAAGACAATTGTCCCACTGTCATCAACTCGTCTCAGCTGGACACGGACAAAGATGGAATGGTTTAATCTCGTTCTTTATATTTAATTAACACCTGGTGATAATCACCGATTCATATCGCTACTGTAGAGAGAACCAATCTGTGGTTTCTTTCTTGCAGGGAGATGAATGTGACGACGATGACGACAATGACGGCATACCAGATAGTGAAGATAACTGCAGACTGGTTCCCAACTCAGACCAAAAGGACTCAGACAGTTTGTGTTCTTTTTTTATTATTATTTTGTACAGCTTAGGGGAGAAGTTTGCATACAGTCATCATCTTATCATGCAAAAATGAGTTTTGAATATGATGGACTTTTTTCATCCATTTGGAATCCACATCCTCAGTTACATTTGGATGAATTTCCCTTAGCAAGTTGCAGAGAAACCGCATGTGTTTTGTGGAAGAAAAATATTTAGAGTTTAGTTAAAGGAGGTTGGTTTCCAGGCAAGGACTTAGCTTGCCTGGAAATCAGGCAAGCTAATGATCAACCAGGGTTGAACTTGGAGCCACTGCAACAGCTTAATGTAGACTGATTTATCCATACCAAAGTTTTTACTTCATCCGCTTTGTGCAGCGCACCATCACCGCTATGCGTCACTTTTCTTAAGTTTCAACCCCTCTTTGTAATTCCTCCAAGGAAACTTTTTGTCACCATGGCCAAAAAGCAAATTCTTTCCTCCATCTGATTGTGTTTGGCTTGTCCATGTGAATAGCTGAAAATTTCAGTGTAGCTTGAAGATTTAGTGTTGGAGCAGGGAGTTTATTCTTGTTCTGTATGCCATAACATGTCAACATGAAACTTGCTTCACTGTAGACAGTGACACTGGCATTTAAGCACTTCCAGTTCATGAAATCTTCGGGCCTGGTTGGTACTCAGGCTGTTTCTATATAAAGTTAATTTAACATCCATACCCGTGATGAGTGAGTTGTACATTTCTGACTGCGGTTGTTCAGTTTTAGCGTTTCCACGACAACCAAACTCTACTGATGTATTTTAGTGGACAAAGTTGGAGACGCGTGCGAGGGAGATTTTGACAAGGACAACGTGATTGACATCATCGACCACTGCCCTGAGAACGCTGAGGTCACGCTGACCGACTTCAGAGCCTACCAGACCGTGGTGCTGGACCCGGAGGGAGACTCACAGATAGATCCCAACTGGGTGGTGCTCAACCAGGTCAGCAACGAGGCTCATCTTACCTTTCTTACCTCAGACTTTTAAGCCCATTTGCAGTGGATTTTCCTCCAGAATGTCTTTCCTCGTCAAAGCTCTTTCAGATTATTTTGTTAGCCCTTATAGACGGCATGTTTCCTCTTCCAGGGTATGGAGATAGTCCAGACCATGAACTCTGATCCTGGCCTTGCTGTTGGTAAATACTTGAGTATCTTTGCTATGCCGTGTCCAGTTTTACAATAACTCCAGCTATTTCCCATCTCCCTCCATGGATCCTCTGATCTGGGCCGTTGTTTGTCTCCTGTGTGCATCTCCAGGCTATAAAGCCTTCAGTGGAGTTGACTTCGAGGGAACCTTCCACGTGAACACAGTGACGGACGATGATTATGCTGGCTTCATTTTCGGCTACCAGGACTCGTCCTCCTTCTACGTGGTGATGTGGAAACAGACGGAGCAGACCTACTGGCAGGCCGCGCCCTTCAGAGCTGTCGCTGAGCCTGGAATACAATTGAAGGTTTGCGTGACGTCTGTTTCCATCGGTTTGACGGAGTCCTCCTCGGTCCTACATGGCTCTTCTTCAACAGGTGGTGAAGTCTAAGACGGGTCCTGGTGAGTACATGAGGAACTCCCTGTGGCACACAGGAAACACAACGGACCAGGTGCGTCTCCTGTGGAAGGACCCCAGGAATGTCGGCTGGAAGGACAAGGTTTCCTACCGCTGGTTCCTCCAGCACAGACCGCAGGTCGGATACATCAGGTACAGGCAGACATGCTCCATCAAACACACTGTAGACACAGTTTTAGTGGAAGGCTAACCTGCTTTCATTGTTGATGTGGAATTCATTTTCATTTGGGGGTTTTCCATCAAAATCTTTATGCACAACCATATGTTTTACCACTCTTTAATTTGGCCCAAAGCCTTATAGCATAATGCATCTCAGCCTTATGGATTTTGTTGCCATGACTCTAAAGGTACATATGACCATTGTTAAGTCCATATTTTCTGAGGTCCAGGTCAATACTGAAGCTTTTAATGGTTAACATCCCAGAAACCAGTTTTGATATTTTGGACTCATTGTTCTGTTAGAAAACCCAAACGAGTTCAAGTTTCCACCACCTGACCCGAACTGTTAGTCTTTTAGGAAAGTAAACTGGATTGTAAACCCAAATGAGAAGTCGATAGCAAATCACAAGCAGTGTCTCGTGAGATTCAACACAGCGTCACATGGGAGAGTCACTTTCTATTAAAATCAAGGAGATTACTCTTCCCAAATGTGGAATCAACATCAAAGAGTGTCTGCATAATATAAAATGTGACGTGAATGAAATAAAACATTTTCCAGTATCCAGCCGGCTTTAGGTTACAAGCTTGTTCATCGCTACAGAAGACTGAAGTTAGAGTTCAACTTATATTTCAGGGGGTTCATGCATTAATTTGAACCTTTGGGTAAAATTTAACCGAGACAATAAATTAATATTATGCAGAAAATCTTTGTGTTTAAACAATTGTTTCTTTTGCATCGTTTAAAATAAATGAACACATAATCCCAGAATTAAGTGAATTTATATTTCTGACCAGAAGTGGCTTGTTTTTGTTGTTTCTTTTTATGTTTTACTCAGAGCTCGTTTCTACGAGGGGTCCAAACTGGTGGCGGACACTGGGGTGATCATTGACACCAGTATGAGAGGTGGGCGACTGGGTGTGTTCTGTTTCTCTCAGGAAAACATCATCTGGTCCAACCTGAAGTACCGCTGTAACGGTGAGTGTCTGCTGACTAACAATGCTCTCGTAAATGGAAATGAAAGCTCTGATCATAGAAGTGAGATTTTATTTTCTCCTTTTCCTCCGTCAGACAACATTCCTGACGACTATCAAGAGGTGGAAGGGGCAGAGTGAAGGGGCAGAAAGAGCACCGATGGGGGATTTTTACCATAAAGAAAGACGCTGCGTTGATGTGTTGCTGTAGTAGGTGATAGGTCAGAGGAAAACGGAAGAAACCATTTCAGTGACGGCATTTAGAGGAGCTGAACGTTGTGTTTTATATCCTTTGTTAGTCCAATAAGTAAATCAGCAGTTTTTCCTCATGTTTATGCAATATATCTTCAGTTTATTAGAGCTGCTCAAACATAATAAGCTTTCAATGAACATTTCTTAAATATAATAAAAGCTGCCGCATCTAAAACATTTTTTAAAAAACATATTTGTTAAAACTGTCACTGTGTTAGTGACGATATAAAAAAAGGCAGCTCAATGTTTTTCACAGATTATCTGTCTTATATTGTCACGATAAAGTGGGAGTTTCAGCAAATACTTTTTTTTTTTTTATAAAAATTACATACGGCAGCTTTAAGTAAAATAAATCTTGAAAACTACACAGTATTAAGTATGTTTTAATCTCTGGAATGATGACAACTAGGTGAAATGCTTGCTTGAACACCAAATTTCAGTTTTAGATTACACTATGCATGTACACTCACTCGTATTCATTTAAATGTCTCTAAACAAGCTTCTGGCATAATTTAGATGGACTCTGACCTCTCTTATCAGAACTGGTAGCAAGCGGAAGAAATTTCTGCATCTACTAGTTTCAAGTTTCTCTCTTGACTCGAATTGAAAAGTGAAGAAAAGCAGGTGCAGGTTATAATTTGTTGCATATTCTCCTGAACCATGGACCCGACATGCAGCTTGTGCGTTCTGACCCTGTTTTTAACAATATTCAAATTTATTGAAGTTGTGAATGATGAATAAAGGCCCTAAATTACTGTATATCTCATCTGAACTTTTCTACTGACCTGTACACAGAAAAATGACATCTGACGGCATGTTATGCATGTTTTTATTGAAATAACGTGAGCGTCATGCCACCTACAACTTTGTATTTCAAACATTTTGGTCAAATTACTGTCAGTCATAAACCTTCGTTTACAGTGGTTTTCAATGTCTTACTTTATTGTTTTTTTCTCCCCCCTGTTTGAAAGCACCATTAAATTTCTACATTCACATTAATCACTGAAATGCAGAAACAAATGAATATCAGAAGAGTTTACAATGAAGCAAATTAAAATGTCAGCTCTGTTGCTATGCATGATTCTGTCTCCTTCTTCGAAACATGTTAAGAGAGCGATCAAAGAGATGATTGAAGGAACTGTTCAGCTTTGCAGTGTGATGTCATAATTTTTTTTTTTTTCTTTTCTATAATACAATTTAACTCGGCTGTAAATTCAACATCCAGTGTTGAATAAATCACTTTTGACATCAACTGTGCTGGCTTTTTCCTAGACGTCATGATGACGAAGAAGCATAAAACGTTTAACTGTGATTGCATGAGTCAGCAAATACATAACGTTCAGAGTTGTATCTTTTCCTGCGACAGACCAAACAATGTGAGCAGTTCTGCTGGCTACCTTTGGCAAATGCAATGTTGATTCAGTGGAGCTCTTCCAGAGAGGTGGCACTTTACAGATATAAAACCTCCTGCCATGCATGACGATGAGCGGAAACACGCGGGTGAGATGGATTTTCTCTAAGAAAGGTTTCGGCTCAAAGGGAGCAGTGGCCGTAGTAAAACTTTACCCTTGTGATCTAAGTGGAAACTTCACAACAGCGGGAGTCTAATATCAACAACTTGTTCCGTTGCATAGAAAAAACTACAAAACACAATATATATAACAAATCACAACACATAGAGCTTAAACAATAAGCCTGAGGAATGAGTTTTTAAACATTGTTAAGAGGCCAAACCTGCTCAATTCACACCATAGTTGTCCTTTCATTCAGGATTAAATAAATACATCTTCTGTAACATCTCTCCAACTAAATGTATCCCACAAACATATAAACCTTTGCTACAACTTCTCGATGGTTTAATTTCACAGAACTGAAGCATCTGGCCGAGATTAAAAATAAAATAGGAAAACGCAATAAAATAAAAAGTCTGATAATGCAACAAAAATCCACTTCAGAGAATCTACAAAGGCTCAATGGTTTTCAATGTAACTCAACTCCAGGTGTTATTTTTGTAACTCCAGACCTGTAGGAAATACAAAGACAGTCAGTGGTATTAAAAGAGTTAAAAAAAATGACCATCAAGGTATTACCAGCTTAACATTGTAAAACAAAGACTGTAACATGTAAAACAAAAAGATAATCCTCCACTCTGAATGTTGGGGGTAGTGTAGGGCTGTGTTTCAAGGTGGTCCCTTAGCCTCGCCCATCAGAGAGAAGAGGGTGACCTAGGCCTCGAAGCGCTTCGGACACATCATGGGAGCCAGGAGCGTCACTATGTAGAGGAAGAGGCAGACCCAGCAGGACACCACCTTGAGCCAGTACACCGACCAGCTGCCGTCCAGCAGCTTCTCGATCTTATGGTCATCATAACTGGGAAAGGCAGAGGAACAGGAAAACCGTCTGAACTCAACTTCAGATTTCAACCAGAGTAAAAGCTTTGAGACCCGTATCAGATCAGAGGCAGGGGGTAAAAGAGTCGACGGTACAGTCCCCCGAGAAAACGCGCGCAAAACAGTAAGACACAAATACAGAGCGCTGAGACAAAAATGAAAAACTTACTGAAACCAGTTGGTGATGGACATCATGACGTACAGAGAGCCCAGGAAGAAGACAAAATGGAAGAAGGAATAGCAGTAGATGGTTCTTTCTTGCTCGTCGTACACCACGCTCTGTCCCGAGGTGGTCTTCTCCTCTTCATAATCCTCTGGAAACGACAAAAACAACAATCATGAATGAAAGATGAGGGTCAGCAGTGCACGTAAAGTTTAAAACGCCCGAATCCTTAATGACGAGACTTGGTATTTCTAAGTGCATGTGTACTTCCAGCAGGTGGCAGTGTGACCCAACACATGCTTCTCCCTCACCCCAGATCCTGCTTTACTTTGCAACAATAACCTCCTAGTAACAGTGACATCATCTGTGTTTACTGACCAATGCTTTCTCACCATCCTCAATCTGGCAGCCAAGTAGCAGCTAGATTGAGTGTGTGGACTCTGACTGTGAAGGACAAATTATCAGACTTTCCTCACCTGTGTCGTCTCCGAAGCAGAAGCAGCAGCGAGCTCTCTGTGGAGGAAAGAAAACGTTACTGCTGAGAGGGACCAGACACGCGGGACAAAAACAGACGCCTCACGTACAATTGGCCACATCTGTCTGAAAGCGAGTCGATGGGTTTTTTTTTTTTTTTTTTTTTACTGTTGCTGTGTTTTTTTGTTTTATGAGCGTGTATTTTAGTTTAACTTCCCACACCCAGTGAGGTCTGAATATTTGTGCGTTTACCTCAGTTTCTGGCTCACTGTTCCTATAGACCCGGAGCGCTGCAGAGCTGCGCTTAGTGGTCGATGTTAAACTGAAGAAGGAGAGAAAAGGGAACAAAAATAGAGAGAACGGTTATAATTCCATCACCCTGTTTTTTTTTGTTTTTTTTTCCTGATAATTTGCCGTTTTAGCAGCCTGCGCAACCACAAGAGACAGGATGCCTCCAGTTGATGGGAAACACATGTGACCAAAGGCGTAAAAGCCACAGTTTGTGTCTCCCCCAGCTTTTTGCTCAGATACAGCCAACTGGATGGAGCTTTCCACAACCAGCCAATACAAACTGAGCTGCCTGCGTCGTTATCGTTTCTCTCATCATCCTGAGTGCTCCTGAGGTTCAGTTGGGTTTCTTTTGATAAGCATCGCACTGCATGAAATCAGTGAAGGCTCAGTTAAAAACGTATCTGCTTTACAAATGCTTTGTCCGTTCGTTTTGTTAGGAAAATTTAAAGAAAAATAGCACAAGAAAGGTATTTTAGCCAATTATTGTTCTTCAACTGATCCTCAGTCATTGTTTTGCCATGTATACTAGTAAAAAAACAATGTGTCTGAAAAATCAGCAAAACTTAACTAGAAACCTGCAAGGCAGTTTGTTCTTCCTGTTTGTCAGAAAAACAAGACTAAAGGCTGAGACGGGCCAGAGGTTTTCAGGAAAATACATGCACATGGTCTATCTGTGTCATTGTGTTAATTTCCCCAGAAACAGACACTGAAACTACTGCAGTTATTTATTTAGCTGGCTCAGTCTTATGATTTCATGTCAACATTAAGCTTAGGAATCAGAAAGCAGTTTACATGGATCAGTGCCACAACAAAGAAAATGCACATCGTTTGACTGTGTTCACTTTTTTAAAGGGATTAACCTTAAAGTAAGATCAGTAAAAGTGACGGGTGATTCTGTTAAAGCTCAGTGAAAGCAGACAACTTCTTAAAGCTCTGTGTTTGCTTTGGTGGAAATACTCCGGTTTCCTCACTTACTTTCCATTTTTAGACAATTTAACCTGCCAAATAAAGATCATCATTTCAGAAAGATCATCACCTTTCTGAAAATTTGTGAATGACAATCAGAATGTAAACCAGATCTGACTGAATCTTTGTATGCATTTTTTCTGTCTGATCTTCCAAAAATATATTTTCCATTTTATTAAAGTTTGACTGATTTTTAGCTGCTAACTTGTCTTTGAACTGTCACGTCACGAACCTGGAGGAAGACGTGTGTTCATCTTTGACGGAGGCTACAGCTCAGCACATGTTCACAACTGCTTCGGTTTGTGACCGATAACATGCAATATGCTTTGCTTCCTACCAGGAGTAAATGATGCAGGCAAACAGGATCACTGCTCCCAAACCGGTGACGATCTGCTTGTCGCTTTCTGACCCGGAGTTGAAGGGAAACACGCAGACAGTTTGGTTCACGCCATCGACTTCAACCACTAGCAGAAGAAAACATGTGGAAACATATATGTGAAAACTAAAACATATTTACAACCAATGAAGGATTGAAATGTAGAGTAGAACATTTTCATTTTATGACTTATATTATCACATCTATAAACATAAAACTGTCAGTGCAACGAATACTAGCTTAAGCTAATTATCAAATGCTAACCTAACTTGTGACCGAAGTTAGTATTAATTACAGATTGTTACAGATTGTTAGTACTAATTAATTACAGATTGTTAGTATTAATTACATATTGTTTAATATTAATTACATATTGTTACAGATTGTTAGTATTAATTACAGACTGTTACAGATTGTTAGTACTAATTAATTACAGAATGTTAAAATTAATTACATATTGTTACATATTGTTTAATATTAATTACAGATTGTTACAGCTTGGTACAGATATGTCTGTTCTTACTTTCTTTTGGTTTGCTGGAGAAAGCGGAGAAGGTGAGGTACATGACGTACACGCTGATGACCCCAGGCTGCAGTAGCCCTGATCTGGGTTGCACTGCAGAAACAAAAGCAAACAGACATTTTAATAAAATCTTCAAACAGGTCTTTACAAAAGTATTCACACCCCACATACTGTCACACCCTAATCCCAATATTTAAAAAAAATAGCATTGGTGTGTTTTATTAGGATTAGTAAGCCAGAAGAAGTCATGTTTAGCAAAAGCCACATAGAAAACATCAAAGAAGGAGTTCTGGACAGAGAAGACCAACAATCTAACTTTTTGGATCAACTCCATGCGACCTAGTGCAAAGCCAGACCTGAGTCCAACTTAGACATTTCCTAGAACCTTTTCATCTAATCTGACTATTTCATCCAACAATTATGGTTTCTAGATGTGCAAAGCCAAAACATTTGTTTTCTGTCACTGCAGCAAGTTCAAGAATCAGAATATTTTAGCTACATTGTTTTTAGATATGTGGTTAATTTCTACATTACAACAACAACAACAAAAAACACTATAATAAATAATAAAG